ACATGCAGAAGCGACATACAATAAGAAAATACGTGTTGAGTTTTGTATAATAAGTGTATCTAGTTTGAATTGGAAATTAACCGAAAAGCTTCATTGGTATGTACTAGACATACGCTCATAAAATGTATGAAATCAGCATATTTAGAGGTGAACTTTTCGGTTCACTTAAGATAGCATGCATTTATGACTATATCTCTATATTACAATCGTTTGATCCTCTGCAATTAAGTCATCAAACTCGACCATTCACATCTGTCCAAATAAGAAGAACTGTGGTGGAAATCAAATTCACAGTATGTATAAAAAGACAATTCTATGATCATTTTGAAATAAGTTTCTAGGTTGTTTTAGGTAGCTTTACAATTAGCATAACCTCTGGGACACAGCAAACAAAATCAACAGTTGTCACTTTGATATGAAGGAAATCGTTTTAAAATCATGATAATAAATCCTAAACTATTGAAAGTAGAATGAAGTCAATATACCGACACGAATCAATCTATACAAGATTATGTAACTCTTTCTCAAAACCAGATTTCCACATAAAAGATCTTAAGACAAAAATATAAGTTATAACTGTACGATCTATACAATAACTATACAAGTTATAGTAAAACTATACAAATTATATAACAACCATACACATTCTGGAATTACTATAAAACTATGCACCTTTACACCTCTACCAACAAATACCCGAAAAGTTTAAACTATACACCTCTTTCTCAAACCCATCTATGAGATCTCCACGTAAAGCATTTCAACAGATATTATTATATATAAGTTATAACTATACGATCTATAAAATAACTATACAGGTTGTAGTAAAACTATACAAGTCATATAACAACGATATATGTTCTGAAATAACTATACAACAGTTATGCACCACAACAAACAAAAACCCTCTAATTACAGTTTAAAAGATGGTTATAAGTAAAAATATAAAAAAAATAGATTATAAAATAACCATACAAGAGTTATGTACCTCTACCTTACAATAATACAAAAATCATTGTACAAATTATAAAATATAAATTTATGAATTATAAAATAACTATACAAGTTTTAAAATGAGTATAAAAGAGTAATGTACCCACTACTATTTTATTTACGATTATAATTATATTTTGATCATATATATACAAGGGTTCGCCCTTTCTACTTGCTTTTCCTTGGCCAAACCTCTTGGCATTGGTCTTTTCAGGATTATCCGTACCGGAATTATGAGTGAAGATGGCTTACTCAAGGTCATAGACGTCAGACTGCACCTAATATCGGCCTCGGTGGGTTCGAAGTGCAGCAAATTAATAATCTCCAGTAAAGAAACATAAAGTACATAAGAGATAAGTTCCAGTGAAGCTCAGACTATCCCTAATCTTATCAGACGATACATCACTTTACAAATCTGCTGTTACAAATGCAGAATAAATGGCATTAAAACAGTTCCTCTCAGATTATAAGATGAATATAAGCTTAGTAAGCTAAAACAATCATACAACCATTCACTTTACTAGATAGATAGTCTAGTAATGAGAAGCCAAATCGTTGCCATAGTTGCCATAAAAACTGAACATCAAAAACTGACTAATGTAGCTTTGCCGACTTTCTGATTTAGCGATTAAGAAGATTTATGGTTTAAGCGTGTACTATACCTCAAATTACCGGCTCATCTATCACATCCTGTCAATAACATCCCACTCGAAATTATTTATAGGCATAGGCCTACTATTTATTCCATTGTTTCGCACTAAACGGGGTCTTAGATTACGTTGAGGCGGAGGAGGAAGCTGCCTGTCCCAACTTGACATGGTTGCCATTCGTTCGACCAATCATGCCTTATTTTAAGAAACGGTACTTATTTTAGCTTAGTTCATTAGTGATAGTGTTAACAGCTCAAGGTCGAAATTTTAGTTTTTAAATCCATGTGTGTCCAGAACTAAACGCGATTTAAATGACGACTCTTTTCTTGAGACTCTACCATAAAGACATAATATATAGAAATAGAAAGTGAAATAGTAATTCTCAGTTTTAGGTCGGGGGAGGCTTTGGTGTCCTCCAGACCTCTGTCTGTATAACTACCACCTCCATAGCTAATTTACGTCTCAGCTAAAAACGGTGAATATTTTGTAAAACCATCATTGACATTAATCAAACTTCTACAGTGACAGATATAAGTCCAATATAGTACATATTATGTATTTTAAGATAAGTTTCTTGCAATACCCGAGACAAAAATTGACACAAGAGTCCAGTTTAATTTTTTTTTTTAAAAAACAAGCGCATACTTGCAATCAATTGCTTCACCTTCACCTTCACTTTGGGCATTAAAATCATAACAATAGCAAAACAAGAACCAACATCTGAATAAATGTCATTTGCAAATTCAAATAACTGATAAATAAAAGTTAAAATACATTTTTTAAAATCTGCGAAACTTACAACGGCCTTGAGTAGATTATTTTACAGGCGTTTTCTGTTTTCACAATCTAAAGAGTTTACAGTTGATTAGAACATGCAGTGAAACCGTGTTTTTTCAAGAATATTTCTCTTATAAAACTGAGTTTTGTAACAGATATAGTGACGAAAGTTAGTTTTCGGCAAACACTCTTGCTTTGCTCCGATAACGATACAATTTATGCATTATAAGTTACAAGTCAAAAAAGCTTTTATGTAAACAGCTATTTTGACAAAATTGTTATATTTGCTAAAATATTAAATATAGAACTCGATTTTTCAAGAGGCAAAAAAGTTTGCACTTAAGTCAATTTTAAAAAATAAAACATCTCACCATCCAACAGGCCCAGCTGTAATTTAATAATTGGTATTGCTAATATTATGAATGATAGCTAGTTTTCACATGAAAATAACCGAAATAAATAAATTTGTATAAGTAATTGCATTCGTATCAACTTCGGGAATAGAATGCTGCTGGTTCTGTGCAACTCAAAGAAACTAACGATCACTGGCTAAGATTGAGCCGAATGAAGTAACGGGTGACAACAATGCTATCATAATTACTATAACATGATATTTATTGTTTTGTGAATTGTTTTGTAATATTTTGTTAATAGCTGTTTGGCAATAATTTCACAGATTGTCTCAACACGTTCTAAAACCTTCATTTCTTTGCATGAAACATGATAGCATGTTTACATCCAAAACAAAATGACAACCCACACAAATTTTTGATAGAAACGACACAATTTGTTTAATTACTTCCGGCCGACTGCTGAGTGCATTGGTACCAAAACTACAAACACTGAAAATCATGCTGTTTGAATCTAGAATTTATCATTGAATTGATTATTGTCAAAAGTCGTCTTTGTGGTGTTGGACTCAAAAATTTTTCAAAAATTTTCTTAAGCAACATTTTCAATCATCAGCAAAAAGAATCAACCGGATGTTACAGCTTTTAAACTGAAATTCATGCCAAATGCGAAAAAATATCTATTCGATATACATCTTTTAATTTTCTTTAATATATAACACTCTTCATGGCAGTGCGATTAAATTCCAGACACTTCAGCAAGAAATATTTCGTAAATTATAACGTATATCATACTTGGCACACATCTCACATGAAGAAGATAAGATTGGTAAGAAGTGCTCATCATAATAGAAAAAAAAACAAATATATCGTCAGACGTTTATATTGTGGTAAAACCTTTCCAACACACTTACACAGAAAATGAAAATCTATGGATCGGATTTTGGCAGAAAAGATCCAAAAATGATGCTGGTAATGTATGGATCGACATTGAAAAATGTGTTATACCTGTAAGTCACAGGCTCAAGCCGCCGCCACTAAGTCACTGTTGACTGTTGAATTCGCCGTCATGATTGCTAATCATGGAGGTGGAAGATCAGCTGTTTGACAAAATTCAACGATTAATTTTGGTGCATGAAACATCACTCTCCCCTTACAAACTTTATTACATATCGTTTATTCATAATAACTATCAACTTTTTCTGTTAGTTTCAATATAAGTTGTTCACTTTTGTTTTGTAAAGAAATGTTATTTCAGCTATTATTTCAGAATACACTTAATAATCCCCATGTTTGCCTTCCTTTATTCATTCATTATATCATCCCATTAGTTTATGCCTTAAAATATAAAACTGCATTAAGCAGTCACAGAGTAAACTAAAATCAAGTAAAGTCAGCCTTCTGCAGCTTAATCAATTTAGCCTCTGGAGTTTCATCCAAGTTGGTAACAGTAAACACAACGAAATGCTTACAGGTCTAGCTAGGATATATTCAAAAAACATTATCAAGTGCTAAAAAGATCACGTGACATTTGAATTTGAATAATATTCTTATGGTACACTGTAAGGTGTCAACGTAAGTCAAAAGTCGAAAGTCTTTGATATTTTATTTTTAACAACCATTTCTGTCGTCTTTAACTGTTAAGAAGTAAAAGTTAATTTTGGTTGCAGAAATCATCAATATGGATGAATATAAATGATATACTCGGTACTCGGTTAGACATGGAGCTTAACTCAACGTCCCTTTGTAGTTCAATTGCAGATTCTAGAATTTGTGAAACAGAAACGATTCTTACACGCTTTAATTAAACTGACAGTACGATAGTAAATGTAACAATAACAGAGTCCATATGAGAACGGTATACTACAACCAGATTATCCACAACAGGTGATGTAGTGAGTGCATGGCCAGATTTACGACTACAGACAAGATCAACTCATTTAGATACAATAACACCAAACGAGATAGACAAGTATCAAGAATTTCTGAGCACATATTCGGGACCTAAGATTAATTAGCGATAAAAAATATTAGTTTAATTGTCTATACTGATTGTTATTAACAAGACTTGGATATCACACACCAAGCTGGGATTTCGCTCAGCAAGACTGGGATATTGCACACCAAATCTAGTATATCGCACACCAAATCTCGGATATCGTATCGCTTACCAAAACTGGGATATCGCTCACCAAAACTAGGATATCGCTCACCAAAGCTGGGATATCGCTCACCAAAGCTGGGATATCGTATCGCTCACCAAGGTTGGGATATCGCTCACTAAGACTAGGATATCGCCCACTAAGATTGGGATACCGTTCACCAAGGCTGGGATATCACACACCAAGGCTGGGATATCGCTATCCAGGGTAGTGATATCGCACATCAAGGCTGGGATATCGCTCACGAAGGCTGGATGTATAACATATCATGGCTTTAAATTTCAGTACTGTTTACTACAGTCCATTTTAAAACTTGTTCATATTTTGCTTGCTCAATTGTACGTAATGTTCCAAGGAAGTTTGTCACGAAGAGAAAAAAAACAAAAAAACTTTTCCCAATCACATCCCATCTATATCAGGGAGACAATAGTCCAATAGTTAATCTACTTACAGCCGGCTATTATGCAGCGCTAATATAAAGGTGACATTATTTTTCTAAATAATTTATTTATTGATTGGGCAAATAAAAGTCGATATACAGTATGCCACTATTCTAAAGACTATCTTACCACGTTTATATCAATGCATATTAAAGAAATGTATAATCAGACAATTCAAGTCTACAATCCAAACTATTATATAAAGTGTCAAATAATGTTGATATTAGTGCCATTAATTGACAATGACAGGTTATCAAATAGAAATAGCATGTTGCTATGCAGACAGCTCGAGACGATGCTTATCGCCATAGCAACTCAATCAAAACAAAACAAATCTGGCAAAGCAATCAATCAAACTAGAACATATTTAGATAACTTAAAAAAGAAAACAAAATGCAATATTCGACACCAAGACTTTTAACAAAAAATTTCAACCTAGAACGAATAGTGAACAAGAAATCATTAATCAAACAAAAATGCGCAAGATTAAGAATATCAAAGCAGATAAATGCACAACATGAGTGACGAAACAGTCAACAACAAAGCTATCCATAGATAGAAAGGATTTTTAGATGAAGCGAATATAGCTAAAGTAAAGTAAATGCTAAATACAGTTGTTTACAAAGTGTATGCATAAATGTACGTAAATCTGTCAAAACGTTATTGATGCAATACTAATATGCTAAGCAATAATTGCGGAATGTATGCAAAAAAGCATAGTATAATGTATGCAATGGATATGATGCCAAGTTCATGCAAAAAATGCGTAGTAAATAGTACTTACCTAAAGGGCACTAGTAGAGCTATCCATAGGCACAAATAAACAACTCCATGTTCGACTTATGTCTGAAATAAAACGAAAATTTAACAATTAATATTTTCGTTTACCGAAAGGAGCGTAATTACGTAATTTGTGTCGAGTAATGGTTTGAAAGCATATATATGTACCTACTTTAAAGCTTCGTTGCAAACCATATTGTTTTCATTAAAAGCATTGACCATATTAGTATATGATCTAATGGTACAGTGTGTGTTCAATTAATGGAAGGCCCCGTAGTTTAGTTGATAGTTAAGAAAACAGCCATTCACGCCAGAATGTTAGTTATATACATATTTTTACTTATCTCGTTTTACACTCAATAGTCAACAAAATCTTAGGTTCTGATTAGTACCACTTAAATATATTATAAATTTAAAATTACGAGAAAAGATCCTATGTGTTCGTTTCACATCTTAATTTTATTACAATTTGCTCAAAGCATATCAAAGAATGATCCATTCGATCTGCAATGCATATAAAAAATAACTTTTTGGATTTGCAGAAATCATTGTCCTGTTTCTCTTTTTTCTGTTAAAAGCAACCGTTTCACTGCAAGTTTTTGCACTTTTTTCCGACCACAGTGATTTCTGATTTGAATTTTTCCTCTTTATTTCACAAAAAGGATTTTTTTTAGAATGTATTTTGGTATATTTTGACATATAATAGTATTGGACGATTTCACATATAAATCATGTTTAATTCTCCCAGAGAGAAGGTAAAAACGGTAAAAACGACCCATTAATTGGACTGAAAATACTCCTCTGCAAAATCTAATTTGATGTAAAATGTGGGAACGATTAAAGACTCTCGTACTATTTTTGTAGTTGTAATTTTATTTCATTTATAAATAATTGGAGAATCCGACACCATGGTTAGAATAATCATGGGTGGCGCTCGATTGAAGAGTTCTGAACAGGTTCCGTCTGATCCATTTCTGCTGCCAATCGAAATGTCTGAAATCGGACATGTCGCATTCAAAATTTTTCCATCTATTTTTTTAATTATGTCCCCATATATTATATATATTTTCGACACACGTGCGTTCTGAACTCTATTCCAACTTGTCTTATTGAACGTTCTTTGATTCCATAAACCCAAACATGCAGAACTCACCAATCAAGCGGGCCCCATGCTTCGAAACATATCAATCAGGAGGTGTGATGAACGTAACGATATACAGCTAAGTGATTCATGCTAATTATCAATATACATGTAATTATGAGATTCTCACAATAGGAGACACCACTGGCGATATAATGATGTAATAAAGCACCAATGATAATCGTTAGGTTATGATGTTTTAGCACTTATCAATATAGACTCTCGGTAATCGAAGAAGTAGGATGGTTCGCTTATTTACATTTTCCCTTCTCCATACAACTCGGTAAATGAAGCCTAAACCTCGACTTTATTGTGGTACCGGGTGGGGTACAGGGACATTGTAGAATATCCGGCAATGTCTTGATGGACTTATTAATGGTTCAGCTTTGTATCAATACCAACAGTTTTGCCAAATTTGGTTTTTGTCATGGTGAAAATTCTCAACAACTAGCGATTCAAAAATGGATTGGAGCAATTCCCATAAAGTGTTATCGTTAGAGTCTGGCCCTAACCGTGACGATATCACATCCGTATTATTACGTCCGAGGAACGGAAGGAGACAATTTAAACCACTACAACGTTCCATTACTTGTGGCCTGTCCGATCGCTACATATAGCACATGATTTGTACGTTATCACGTAACGTACCAACGTTACCAACATATAAAGATGTATACATGTATAACACCTAAGACATTTTATCCACCAAATATCCGAATGGTTATCGGATAAACCATTTTAGCTCATATCAATAACCAAAATATCCTACCCTAATCTCAGTTTATTACTCACAATCTAGCTTCGATCGATCTATAAAATCAAGTGAAGCATCTGTCAAAATATTAGATTAAATATCTAGATAATAATATACTTCTTTATTGCTGTATTTTGCTTACGACTATTGCCACCTAATCAGAATAATGTATTTTCCAGAGCTATATTATCCTTCATGATATAGTATGGATGGAACCACAAGATGCACGCTACTATAGGTTGTAAACATGGGCATAGAAAGAGCCTGAGGGGGGCGGCACATATGAGAGAGGCCAAAGCCGGAGTCTTGGGTCTTCCAGAGACCCCCAGAAGCAAAACTTTACTTCACTTAAAAATTCCTATCACAGGCCCGAGGGGAGGCCATGACCCAATAGCCCTCTCCATAAATACTCTACTGGTTGTAAAGTAGTGAGCTCTTCAGACATTTACAGGTTAAATATTGTTTAATTTAGAGGTAATTAACATCTCAATGAAATATGATGTAATGTATTATAAATAACTAATAAAACACGAGAGGCTTACGATGTTGTAGTGTTTAAATGGTGTATGATAATTTTCAGGTGCGAAAATGCACTCTAAAGGTTTAAACAATGTCGTTATGCTTTCATATGCCGTCTTAGCTTCAACATATGTTAGTAATTATATACATATATACCGGTAAAACTAATCAAGAATAAGAATTCAAGTTTCGTTTTGTTTTAACGGTGAAACGCTTGTAGTTATTTACCAGCTATCTTTATTAGTATCTTGTACAATATAGAATTTCATGTCTTCATGCTTCGACTGTCGTGCTTGCCTTTTACAGAAAACCCGTCTTCTGAGTTTGCTGAGCTTCCGATTGGCCGTTCTGAATGTGCCAACCAATTGGAGTTTCAGGTATATGAAGCACAGGTATCATTGTTGCTTGCAGTTCTATAAGTTAGGATATATGTCTGAGAGGAACGCAGAGCGGCTTTTTGAACGTGAGTACCACCCGTCTTTTTCTTTTTCATAATTATTCACTTTAATATTGAGTCATTTGTTTCACGGTTGTCCACTTAATTATTAATGTTTTTTGATAACTTGATATCAAGCAATGAACTTTTACAAATTTTCATCGCTGCTTTTATAGAAGCGAAAAAAAGGTGTGTGCATTCACTTGTCTGTTACAATAATCACCAAAAAGAGCTGAAACTGCGATTTTCACAAAAGCTACCTACTGTTTAAGGTTGATTTTTTTTAATCTCCCAAAGTTATTTTATATCAACATTAAAATTAGTCTTAGCAGATTGAAAATGTCGGTTATTGCTTTCTTACAACGATAACGTTGTGCCTTTCAATGGTTAATGTAGAGATTCACGGCGTGTTTTTAACTTTAATTTTCTGGCATGTTCGCAAATACTTTAAGACGATTTTTTCTGGATACTTTAAAGGCATGAAATAGTACTCAGAACAAGATTAATTACTCATTTGACGTAACACCTCTGTTGCTACTGGGTGCTGGTGATCTGAAAGGGTCATACACCCTGTCTCGTTAACGACACTAACCAAAGTAGATTTTTCAAATATTCAAAGGGCCATAAAAAATTAGCAATCAGTTAACATTTAGCACAGCAGTGAAACAAATGAAATCAATCAGTTAACATTTAGCACAGTAGTGCAACGAATGAAATCAATCAGTTAACATTTAGCACAGCAGTGCAACGAATGAAATTAATCAGTTAACATTTAGCACAAGCAGTGAAACGAATGAAATCAATCAGTTAACATTTAGCACAGCAGTGCAACGAATGAAATCAATCAAATTAGATTGTCAATATCCATAACTAGGTATCGCAAGGGAATTTTTACATTAAGTTATCTTGTTACAAATTAACTTAGATAAGATATAGACTATTTTTCATTTTATAGTAGAAAGCGACTGATACATGACATAAAATAATTTCTTATTGAAATATTAAGACCTAGTACCGGTAGTTGGTACTTAAAAATTACCTCTAAGATGAGTGCAAAATCTCTTATGAGTTTACCATATTTTATAATATACGTTATATGGCACGCCTCTTGTAAGATAAGCCTTTGTAGCGTTACATCTTTAACCGAGATTGATTATAAACAGAGTCTCAAATTTCCACGTAAGAGACTTAATTATAATGTTAATTAAAGAAAACGAAGTAACCCATAGATACCAGAGCGGTGATAGATCGGTAGCAGACACTGGCTAACCACTTATCTAGAGCGTGATTGTTCAGAAATAGGATAGGTCCAGTACGGAACCCCCTGTTGTGAAATAGATATCATCGAGTTTTCACCTTTACTGGATGGTTAATTAGTCTGTCCTGTCCATTACAGACCATTAAGAATATGATAAATGAAGCGTTTGTGAGTTTAAAAGAAACATTCCTAGCATTCAATCATTTGAAGTTATTAACAGACGCATGTGTTGGGAACAAAATAAATCTAAAAATAGACTGCAACTTCAAACGTTCGTTATTTGTAAACACATTTGTGTCCAATGACATTGTTCATGCATATAAAAAAACATTGACCCAATCAAATGCTTTGATCAAGTTAAGTTAAGTTAAGATCTCATTTATCAATGATTTAATATGGTTAACGTTGGACCGAAGAAGTACCAGGTCAGAATATGAAATAAGAAAAAGCGAAATATCAAGAGCTACATTTTAATGAAGTTGGAAATCGTTCAAATTCCTTTTAGATTACAAATTTAATTAGTAATGTTGATATCCAATTTAATAGATATATAACTGTAGCATATGGTTGCCTGTAGCCAAAAATAACCGTGCAGTTGTTTCAACATTTTAATTTTTTTCGAAATATGTTATTGTTTATTTTCAGTCTGGAAAAAGCTGTTCTGAAAACACCAGTTGGGCTTGAGTGAAAAAAAGTTAACCTTGTGACCAGAGTAGTAACAAGCTTTCGTTGCGATAATTTAACACAAGGTCAGTCATCATGGCTGCAGCATACGACCCTGCCGATCCCGACTTCGAATATTTGGCAGTTGACAGAAAGAAGTTGCTTGCTGAACAGACTCAATCTTTTGATGGTAAAAAGGCATGTTGGGTTCCAGATGAGAAGCATGCTTTTCTACCAGCTGAAATCCAAAGCAGCAAAGGTGATGACATCACTGTCAAGATCACCACCAACAATGACGTAAGTATTTACTACCTTCTTCATCAATAACCTACCAGTCGACCCATCTGTAAATGGGAACGGCTAATCCTTGAAAATCATTGCCAAGAGGTTTGGCCAAGGACCAGATGGTAGAAAGGATCCTTAATTGTGAACCGAAGTTGTTATCCTTGTAAAATATAGTTGTTTCTTTCTTTCTTTTCTTACTTTTGCATCGAAATGTTTCGGTATGGAATATTTCCATATGGAATATTGCTTTCGAAACACATTGTTACAATACAATTATCATCCTTTAGAATTCTTAAGATTATGTAGGATTTTACTGTTTTGATGTTACTTCGATTTATACTTCACCAATACCATACCGTTTTGGTAGCAGAGTGGATGCTACGTTTATAATCCTGTAAGTTCTGGAGCCACAACTATACCTTCTAATATATTTGTATATAATGCATGATCCTTATTCGATTTCAGATCAGAACCGTCAACAAGGAATCAATCATGCAAATGAATCCTCCCAAATTCGAGAAAATTGAGGATATGGCTAACTTGACCTATTTAAATGAAGCTGCTGTACTTTACAACTTAAAAGCCCGCTACCAAGCAGGTCTTATTTACGTAAGTAATTATCGCCAATAAGTAACACTGCCTTTCCCAAACTTATGGGTACCACTGCTTTGTAGAGCTGTAACTATAAACAAACCCATATACCCTAATATTGTCGTCATTTTTAGCCTTTTGGTTTTTGTGTGCGCACATTCAAATGAACGGATGTCCTAGAGTTTTCAATGGATTTGGACAAAGCATATTACCATAAAATCGTCATTTGGCACATTCAAATAAACAGATGTCCCAGAGAGCTTTAAATGGATTGGCAAATGAATATCTCGTTCTGCTGGAAAGTAAATCTGTTTAGACATGATTCTTTACAAAAATTTACACATTTTCTTATTCTAATTTTAGACTTATTCTGGTCTTTTCTGTGTTGCCATCAATCCTTACCGACGTCTTCCAATTTACACATTGAGTGTTATTGGTAAATACAGGGGTAAACGAAAGTTGGAAATGCCTCCCCATTTGTTCTCCATCGCTGACAACGCCTACCAGAACATGTTGCAAGGTGAGATATTGACTCTTTTTAGAACTTAAAAGATATCATTGCATATACGGAATGTATACTTCTTAAGGTGGGAATAGACGATGTTCGGTGTCCAGTGCGGTGTTAGATGTGGGATAATCGATACAGAAGAATTCGTTTTTAATAAATTCATTTGGTTTTTGTTTCAGATCGTGAAAATCAGTCTGTTCTCATCACGTAAGTGTCATAATTATTTAACATTGTTGTTGAGAAGCTACTGTAGCTTGAGAAACAGAGATTTTGTGCAGGTGCAGGAGTCTCTGGTGCAATGTTTGAAAACTTTCTTGGGAGGACGCTCTCAAACGCTCCATGAGAAGCCTGCGATTATGAAACCTGCATAAAATGTCGCATTTTGAAAACAGAATGGACAGTTGTCCCAATTGAGTCTGCCATCTATTTGTACCACCAGTTTCAGGAGGCTGGCGCCGCCACTATTCCCGTGCATTTTACTGTGGCGCAACACATAATTAGTGCAAAAATACTATTATTAAGGGCCGACGTCCAATAGGAACCTGGGACCTACGAAGATTCAGAATCTTCGGATGTTCATGCATATTTTCTAATTACTTATTACAGTGGTGAATCTGGTGCCGGTAAAACTGAAAACACCAAGAAAGTCATTATGTACTTTGCTCACGTCGCTGTGGGTCAACACAAAGACAAGGAAGAAGATGAAGAAAAGAAGGACAAAAAGAAGGTCTGTTTCATATTTCATGTTTCCTATTACTCCATTAGAATCAAAATTATGAAAACCAGATTTGAGATCAAGCTAAATGGATAGACATCTTATTGACGCACATAAAGAGCTATTTCTTGGTGTGAAGTAGGCAACTGCAAACATGGAATAAGCATTTTCAAAAAGATGGAGGAACAATATTATTATTTTACAATTAGTAATCCTTTATATTTCTTTCTTTATTCCACCCTTTTTACCCTATCCAACTTCCAATGGTCGCACACATTGCAAATTCGCACCCCCTTTCCTTTTTACCTTCCATCCCAATTACCCCAATAGGGAACACTGGAAGATCAAATTGTTCAAGCCAATCCAGTACTCGAAGCTTACGGTAACGCCAAGACAACCCGTAATAACAACTCTTCAAGATTCGTAAGTAAAATGAGTGGGTAGAAATACCACAATCCCTTTGAACCCTGTTTTCAGATATCCAAACCCTGTGTTCACCAACAATCTTCCCACCAATTGAGTTCCTCCACCCGTCCCTCCGAAACATGCACCACCATATGAACCATTCCCGTTTGTGATTAATGTAAACCTTACCCTACTTTTCCTTGTGTGATAAATATAGGGTACACTCGAAGACCAAATTGTACAAGCCAATCCTGTTTTGGAAGCATACGGTAACGCCAAAACAATTCGTAATAACAATTCTTCTAGATTCGTAAGTAACATGTCTTAGGTACAATGCAACTCCTTATTTAAAACACATCCAAGTGAAAAACCTGATATTGTAAGAAAGTTTTCAATGTAACTTGAACAACGCTAAATTGAAGAACGAACAACGCTCCAAGTTGAAGAGCTCTGGAGCTTACTTCATTAACGAGCTGTGTTAACTATGTACGCAGAACAAGTTTTACTAATTCAAATGTTAAAACAGCTGTCGAAATTACTTTTTGATTACCGTGATTGCAGGTTTTTCATTTAAAGTGTTTTAAAGTCTTGCAATACTCTTAATTAGATCCCCTTCCTTCATTAATCCCTAGAAATAACCTTCCCAAAACGTTACCTTTATCTATAGTGATTCCCTCCAAATGCAGATAACTAATTCAATTATTAATCCAAGAAGATTCGCTTAAAATTATACCGCCAATTCCCTTTGAATCCTTAATAAATCGAGGGTATATTCTTGTCATAAGTTTAAGCGAATCAATCAATCAATATTAAAATGAACTAATACTTTCTTTTTTTTTTGATCCTTTTCCTTATCTAGTGGCTATCACAGTTGATGAGCCAGCTCAATCAGTTTAAATCCATACAGATCGTATCAAAATGAAGTTCTGTAAGTACAATGCATCGTTGAATAGTTTAACGTAAAATCAATCAGAGTAGATGCTTTGCACTGCACAATTAGAAGGGTAAAGACGTCGATCCATTTGATTTACCAGTGGATGAATTTCAATCTCATCTACCCATAGTACTCCTCAGAATCAATACCCAGCACCTCGATCGTCTGCAATAAAAGATAAACGCAACACCGGAAGCTTAAATTTACGTTTTGTGTGACGTCAGGTTCGTGGTTGCGATCTTCTCATTTATTGCAAACGAACCAGGTTTGTTTTAGTCTGATAAGTGGTATGGAGACATGCGATTGAACTATATTACCTAGTCAAACAAATGCTTAGAGGACTATATATGATTCATATATTGTGTGCTTTACATGATTTGATATACAAGCTACAAGCATTTTTTTTTTATTTCATTCCAAAATTCCAATGGCACCTGTACTTCAGTAGTATAAGGGTCTAGTTCTAGGCATAGTATAGTGCAGAATTAAGCTGATGAATCGTATAGATGTGATAGCCAAACTTTATTAATATTTCCTCTGTTCCGTACATCGTCACTTTAAATCGTTTGTCATAACAATTCTGTAAGGAATACAGTCCTCTAAAGCAATTTTGTTAAATTACTGCCGGCTTAGACGTTAAATTCAGACGTCATTTGCTTGGTTACGTCGAACAAATGGTGGTTATGGGTTCTAATCTTGATCGGAGTGTGAAAGTATGGTCACCTTGAATAAGTCATCTTCACCCAGCTGTAAATGGGTACAGATAATGCGAGATCGACCAATGCCATGAGGTTTAGCCAAAGACCAGTTGGTAGGATCGTTTGTGAATCTGGGTTGCTATCTTTGTCAAAAATGGTTATTTCTTTCTTTCATAGATTTCCGTTTGAAAAATCAGACCCTATGAACTATTGTAAGGAATAAATAGAGGACTGTATTGCTTTGAAATATGTTAAAATACTGTTTCGCCAATTCTAATTGCATGATATTATAATATGTATCTATTTAATGGATATATGCTCAGTCAACAAAGTACAGCTTGAAGGTAATCCATGACAAATATCATAACTTACATAATGACCACAGCTATCATGGAACTTACTACTGCATAAAAGCATCAATTATCAAGATAATACTTTTACTTTGTCAAATTTACATCTTCCGTGATTGCATGTAATTACGAGGTGAATATATACTAAAATGATTATAAAGTGAAAAGAAAATACACGTTTTTCGAATTTGAGGCTCTTGCCCAAAGTTTTATGTCCATGAAATAATGCCTTATCAGGCTGGCTCGCGAATGAGGTCCAAGGCATGTTCACGCTCCAAGAAGACCCGATGCATCTTGGCTTGTCATCTAGAAATACCATTTGAAGAGGTCACATAGCTAGCCATGCTTATTCGCTACATCTAATGGAAACTATGTTTATTCTTGCTAAAAGATATACTATAAACGTAACAATTATATATATTTTTTCAAATATAGGGTAAATTCATCCGTATCCATTTTGGTACCCAAGGTAAAATCTCTGGAGCTGATATTGAACAATGTAAGTGTAGTTTAAAATGCCTTTCCTGAATATATAGGCAGACCTAAGCTGTATAGGAAATTGTCCAATGTGTTACTTACTTGCGCCCAGGCTTCTCATCCTAATCACGCTTCTGTTTTAGAAGATATTAAATCTATTCCTTGTTTTATGACAATTAAAACATCAGTCCATTAGATGATACAAAGTTTGACTCAGTTCATATTTACCACTTTTATTACGTCGGCCTGTGGAACGAATTATGGAATGTGTTTTGATGTGGTATTGGTTAGGTATCACAAATAACCATTCGAGATAATTAATAAAAGTAACATCCTATTCCAGACTTGTTGGAGAAATCTCGAGTAACCTTCCAACAGCCAGCTGAGAGAAACTACCACATTTTCTACCAATTGTTGTCAAATGCTGTTCCACAAATCGTAGGTAAGTCATCAGAGTCCATCCTATCAACGAATGTACTGTTATAAATACACAGGTTTCCTTTTTTGTACGCATGAGGATGCCAGTTCCATCATTATGATCTAATACGATTGTAACGTGATAGTGTTTTCATCAATCCAGAACCAAATTCACGATTCCATTGTTTGATCTCTCCCTGTAAACCAGGGTCGTAACTAGGCCTAGCTTCATTTTTCTATGAGGTAAACATCATGTCTTTCACCGCAACGCTTTCCTCAATGGTACTTACCTTTAAGGTAGACATCAAATAAGTGATATATTATTGGATATCATTCGTTAGACAATTTTTCTTTTTTTTGTCAAATTCGACATGAGGCATTTGCCTTGATGTAGTAACGACCCTTTAATGGATACACATATGGCAAACCACCGAGACCACAAGCAGTTACAACAGCAGAATCATTCATTTTAAAGACTTCACAATTTATAAACGCACACACATATGATTGTTTACTTATATTTCAGAGAAAATGTTAGTTAACCCTGATCCATCATCGTATAGTTTTATCAACCAAGGTTGTATCACCGTTGACGGTATTGATGACAATCAAGAAATGAAAGATACAGATGTAAGTTTCCTATCATGACGTGTTCAATTCTAGCAGATTTCGTTACAAGAAAATTTCAAGATAACTGGATAAAAGGTGTGATACGGTGTTTCCAAATTGGCGATCTGGAGCGCTTCTGATATTTCAATAGCAAAATAGATTATTCTAGTAGGCCTAGTACTTTTTCTGTTTGTTTGACAACACGATTTGATTGAATGTTTTAGGTTGCCTTTGATGTCTTGGGATTCTCAGAAGACGAGAAGAGCAGTTTGTACAAATGTACTGGTTCTATCATCCATTTTGGTGAAATGAAATTCAAACAAAGACCAAGAGAAGAACAGGCTGAAGCTGATGGTACCGCTGGTAAGAACATCATAACTAACTCCATAAAATAGATTGCCATTTATGGAATAATACAAAATCATAATAATGAAATAATGGTTTTAATATACTTCAATGAACACCGCCCATTTTTTTACTTACAGAGGCCGAGAAAGTCGCTTTCTTATTGGGTATCAACTCTGGTGATTTGGTCAAGAGTTTGTTGAAACCCAAAATCAAGGTCGGAAGCGAATACGTCACCCAGGGTAGAACTAAAGATCAAGTTGTATACTCTGTTGCTGCTTTATCTAAATCCATTTACGATAGAATGTTCAAATGGATGGTCTTCAGAGTCAACAAAACTTTGGATACCAAAGCCAAGAGACAATTCTTCATCGGTGTACTGGATATTGCTGGTTTTGAAATCTTCGATGTGAGTATGATTTAAATTAATATTTCAAGAATTAAACCTCAAAATTCAGATACTCCTCCAATGATTCCTTATTATGTTCTTATAATATGACAACATGTTCTTATCTTGTAGTTCAACAGTTTTGAACAGTTATGTATCAACTACACCAACGAACGTCTTCAACAATTCTTCAACCATCACATGTTCGTGTTGGAACAAGAAGAATACAAGAAAGAACAAATTGAATGGACATTCATCGATTTCGGTATGGACTTGCAAGCCTGTGTTGATCTTATTGAAAAGGTGGGTTCTTACGAAATTACGTAAGCAGAATTACGTCTCCATACTGGTATTCGTGAA